TTATCTATTTATTTTATTTTTATTTATTTATTTATTTTTGTAAAACAGGACCTACAGTTACTATTTGTTTTGTTTTGTTTTACGGTATATCAACCTCAATGGGTTTTTTTAATGCCGACAAGATTTTTATTGCTGTTTATATTTTTCCTTCAAAAATGTAATAAGAAAACGTTATAAAAAAGATCAATTTTTCATTCCGTTTCAATGTCGTCTGCAATTTTAAGTTTCATTTTTTTTCTTTAAAGAGAAATAAAAATTTCACATAAAACAAAGATTACAAAACATTATTTAATGATTAAGAAGAAAAAAGAAATTCAACCTGAAAGATTTTTCGGTAAAATATGCCGATACTTCGACAAATAAAAAAAGAAATATTTTTTGGCTTATGTTTTTTTTTTTTTTTGTCTCAGAAAACTTCTTTCTTGTCGACTTTCTCTCGGACTGCCGACGCATTTTTTCTTCGGGAATTTTCGACAATCTTCGGTTGTTCTCGATAATCTCCGCTGATATTTGCTCTTTGGTTTTGTTTGTTTTACGGCATATCAACCTCAATGGGTTATTTAATGTAGACACAATTTTTATTGTTGGTAATATTTTTCTTTTCAAAAAAATATTGCTGGTAATATATTTTCCTCAAAAATGTATAGCTGGTAATGCTTCTTTTCAAAAACGTATTGCTAGAAATAGTTTATTTCTTCAAAAAATTATTGCTGGTAATAATTTTTTACAAAGTATTTCTGGTATTAAAATCGATTTTTACACTTTCATAATGTTTTGACCCTAGTTGGAGGGATTAACTATTTGCCCATAGCTGTCACCCGAACAGGTGCTCCCACCTCGGGTCAAGGTGGACCTGGGAACACCAGCAATTAAGAGGTCCTCAAAACCGCCTGATCAGAGGCCTTGCTGTTGGACGTAGTTTATGGTCTTGCCCAGGACGCGGATGTAGTTTATCGTCAACCCAGGATGCGGATGTAAGTTTATCGTCTTAACCAGAACGCGGAAGTAGTTTATCGTCTTAACCAGGACGTGGATGTAGTTTATCGTCTTAACCAGGATGCCAGGTGTAGTTTATCGTCTTACCCAGGATGCGGATGTAGTTTATCGTCTTACCCAGGACGCGGATGTAGTTTATCGTCTTACCCAGGACGTGGATGTAGTTTATCGTCTTAAGCAGGACGCCAGATGTATTTTATCGTCTTAACCAGGACAGACAGTTACTATAAATCTGCTCTGAATCGTAAAATAAAAAATGCAATAAAACTAAAACTTTATTTGATTTGAAAAACTTTTAATTGCATTTATCATTAAGAAATATTATGGAAATGATTGTCTTTAAAAAGAAAGTTTTTTTAATATATGAATAATTATTTTTTACAAGATTTGCTTACATTTTTAAAATTTTGTTAAGACTTGATTGTTGCAACAAACCAAATAACTTATTCAATATAATCTTTCCGCTTCATGTCAGCAGGAAACGTTAACCCGCGAGGATACATGGAGTCAGTCTCCAGAACGTTAACACCACCCATTCTATAAATTTTCTTTTTTTTTTACCCTTATAGTCGCCTTATTTCTTTTCACCATCTTTCGACCATCTTAAGACCATATTTCTTTCTTTTTCTTCGTCAAATTATCATTTTTCTTATTTCGTTTTTCTTCTATTTTTTTTCTCTCTTTTATTTCCCTTTTCCTTTTTCTTTTTAACTTTTTGCTACAACTTTTTTTCAATCATTTCGTGAAAAAAACAACTAAGCGGCTTTGAAAAACGATGCATGATGGGAGTTTTTGAAAACGACTTCAGACGATGACATTCAAAAATGGAGACAATTTTATAATAAAGCACAATTTTTCAAAGAATGACAAGGGAAAAGGCATCAAATGTGTTAGCAACGAATTCGGTGCACCATGCCAAGCATTACAGAGAACAAAACATTCTCGTGACGAGCAACAAAGAGATGTCAGAATAACACATTCCCTTGCGCATGCGTGAAGAAAACAAAAAGGGGAAAACGACTAAAGGAAGACATAGACGAAACAAATTTAAGATACGAAAAAAGAACGATGTTGATAAATATTGTTGGCAATTTTTTAGCATCCCGCTACCACTTTCTTATCAATGTTGAATTTTGTACAAATCTGTGCAAAAAGTGGATCAAAGAGCTTACCCAGCTTCATACATATTTTCAAGAAATCTCAACTTCTAAATGGTCAATAAACACACAAGTGGGTGTTCCAATCCACCCACGTATAAATATTTTTTCCAGCGCGTGACCAAGTCCAGTTTTCCCGCCATATTCCTGGGAGCCTACCACGTGATTAAATTAATTATAAATAGCAGACACAAGCTTGCTTATTCTTCTTCTTTTTTTCTCTTCTCTTTTCCTGCGAAGATGTAACCTTAAAGGATCCCGTCTCGACCATGTGCGGTCAGATGTTAAAAATATATTCACGCATGCACGTACGTACAAAATTTTCCAAACTCCATTAAAAACATACAAAACATTTCCAAAGAAGCAACAAATACTTTTCTCTTTGAAATACTCTTCCAAAAGCTAAAAGTTTATTCAGCATTTCTCAGCTTTATAATTCAGTCAACATTTGTGAGCTGAGATAAAAAATATTTTCAATATTTCGTCATACCAAGGACGCGGATATAGTTTATCGTCATACCCAGGCCGCCTCATCTGGAAGGGGGTCTTAACCCTAACCCGCAGAGATGCAGTCGGCGTATTCTGAAACCCCAGTCGACAGTCCTATTCACGTTGTCCTTTTACAGATATAACTTATATGAAATTTTACACATATATGTATATATGTATATAAATATAAAAATGACTAAGGTCAACACTGTGTGGCGATAATGACTAGCACGGCTATCGACAGCCGTGCTAGCGCGAAGTCACAAGTCATCGTGGCTGAGGGCTTGAGGACACGGTCCTTGTTCAAATTGTTGATCACGCTAGATAACACGCTCTTTCCCAGAAACTATAGCTAAGGTCTGCTCAGCATAGTTGCAGTATAATCCACAGTTATACTGTTGGGATTGAATAAACACAAATGCGCCTGAGCAAGCGTCTGCAATAGGGATCGGCTAGCCACCCCAGTAGACAGGTACAGAATACGAGTGTCCAGCTATACCTATGGCAGTAAATACTGGACAATTTCCTCACAGATGAAGAGACCCGAAGCAACAGAGATGTAGTTCTACAGAAGGATGCTGAGAATATAACTTTGGAAAACTTTCTGAAAAAGTAGTAACTATACAGAGGATCGAAAATGTGACTCCGAAATCCGAACACGCATCTGATTAGGGAAAGATGCCTTCCAAAAGTTAAGAAAATATTAAGAAACGGGAAAATTTCGTTATAGACGAAGTGTTTAATAGGTATGTCATACCAATCCTCTTGCATGACAGGGAATGCTGGACAACCTTACCACAAGAAACTGGAGTCAACAGAAATGTGGTTCTACAGAAGGATACTGAGAATTCCATAGACAAAGCGTATAAATAAAGAGGGTATCTTATGAAGAAAATGGTAAAAGGAACACATTTTAAAGCATTTCACTTCAAGCAAGGCAAGAGTGCCACTAGCACGCAAAGGGGTTACAGAGAGCAAGAGTAAAGAGGGGGGGTTGAGGAAAGGATATAGAGAAGGACCGGGATCAGGATCAAGGCATCAGAAGATGTCGATTGACATTACATTTGAATATTTGAAGAGTATAGCTATCAGGGAAGCAAGTAAGAGGAAGGGAGTTTTACTGTCGGGAAGTGCGAGAGAAGAAGCTGTTGGAGTAGAAGAGGCGGTTACATTTAACTGTTTCGACAGTGAAAGGGTGGGACCTAGTTGCCAACCTAGTAGCACGTTTAAATTCATGCAGTTGGGGGTACCAGTGAAAGTAGCTCGAACAGAGCAGTTGCCATGAAAATGTTTGTAGAAAAGACAGAGGGGAAAATATCACGTCTGTGAGAAAGTGACTGTAGACGAGATGCCAGATCAGAACCTATTATATTGCATATCCGTCTCTGGATTCTGTCGAGAACTTCGAGATGAACAGAGGGAGCAGAAGACTATATGTGGCAGCAGTATTCAATGCAAGGACCAATGGTTGATTTGTAGATTTGAAAGATGGACTCAGACGGGAAAAACCTTCTGGCATGACACATAGAACCAACGTTATATTCAGAATCAAAACAGCTAAAATTTCTTTTACGCATAATGAGGAATCATTGTGTCCAAGAAATTTCAGCTGTCGGCTTGGTTTTGATTGATTGATTCGTTTTTACCATTTAAGGAATAGAGCACATCTCAACATCTGCTGTGGAACCAACGATAGAGTATCACAGGCAGGCAACATGGTGTCGGTGGGAAAGAGGCTGTAAGGGGCTGCGACAAGATAACAGTAAACCGATTTGCAGGTTATTTAAAGCCAGAAAATATTTTTAGATTGTAAGATTTTTTTTTTTTTTTTTTGAGATAATAATCTTTTTAGTGATACAAGTCTTACTAATTAACCCATAGCTGGGGGGGAAGGGTATTTGTGCGTAAGTGAATATAACGAACCCAACTGGAACTGGAACACGGCTCTCCGATTAACAATTCCAAGAAAATAGAAAAATGGGTCCCTTCCAAAGGATCAGACAAGAAAGGAAAGAAAAAAAAAACAGAAAGAAAAAATATGTCAAAAACAAGCAAAAAGAGAAGCAAGAATATGATTGAAGGAAGGCAAGTAGGCATATCAACAACTCTATGGGTCATTTAATGCCGAAATCTAAATATTTTATACGCAATTTTATTTATTTTGGGGGGGATAATAATCGTTTTAGTGATGCAAGTCTTACTACTTAACCCATAGCTGGGGGGGAGAAGAGGTGAATTCATTTCTTTCCCAAGGGTATTTGCGAGTAAGTGAATTTAACGAACCCAACCGGAATTGGAACTCGGCTCTCCGATTAACAATTCCGAGACATAATTCATTACACCACCCGCATATGCAAGCTTACAGCTGCTGGTATTCCCAAGTGGTCGCCCATCTAAGTACTAACCAGGCTCAACGTTGCTTAACTTTGGTGATGGTACGGGGGAAAAGGGAGACAAGCTGTTAAGGGCCACAAAACGATAGGCAGTTGTGGAGAGCCATGATCGCCTTCGCACAAAGAAGAAGAAGAAGAAATTCTGTGGCATATTATGAGGAAAGATGGTTTGGAAAATTTAATACTCACAGGATATATCAAAGGAAAAAGAGACAAGTAACCTACCTAATTCGGTTATCGGGGCGGCGACACGGGAGAGATAATAAGAGTTAAACGTTCCTTAGGGTTATAAGAAACGTTATGGAGAGCCATGCTCGCCAACGCTATGAAGGGACAGGGAACCGAAAACAAGAAATATGATGATTATGATGATGATAAGCGGTACTTGTAATGGTAATATTAGCCGTTTCCTTATAAGGAAACTTTTGGCATTTATAGATATTCATGAAATAATTCTATTAAAAGAATTTTTAGGCGAAATAGCTGTTATCGCTCTTTCCAGTTTTGTTGGAGGTTTACTTCCTAACCTTTTGTTTGATGTAGTGTGGAATGTCAACATCTTGATTATGTCATTATTTTCTCTTCTCAAGCCCAGTAGCTGTTATCACTCTTTCCAGTATTGAAAGGGATTTCGTTGCTAACCTTTTGTTTGAAGTAATGTGGAAAGTCAACATCTTGATTATGTCATTATTTTCTCTTCTCAAGCCCAGTAGCTGTTATCGCTCTTTCCAGTATTGTTGGAGGTTTCCTTCCTAACCTTTTGTTTGATGTAGTGTGGAATGTCAACATCTTGATTATGTCATTATTTTCTCTTCTCAAGCCCAGTAGCTGTTATCACTCTTTCCAGTATTGAAAGGATTTCGTTGCTAACCTTTTGTTTGAAGTAATGTGGAAAGTCAACATCTTGATTATGTCATTATTTTTCTCTTCTCAAGCCCAGTAGCTGTTATCGCTCTTTCCAGTATTGTTGGAGGTTTCCTTCCTAACCTTTTGTTTGATGTAGTGTGGAATGTCAACATCTTGATTATGTCATTATTTTTCTTCAAGCCCAGTAGCTGTTATCACTCTTTTCCAGTATTGAAAGGATTTCGTTGCTAACCTTTTGTTTGAAGTAATGTGGAAAGTCAACATCTTGATTATGTCATTATTTTCTCTTCTCAAGCCCAGTAGCTGTTATCGCTCTTTCCAGTATTGTTGGAGGTTTCTTCCTAACCTTTTGTTTGATGTAGTGTGGAATGTCAACATCTTGATTATGTCATTATTTTTCTTCTCAAGCCCAGTAGCTGTTATCACTCTTTCCAGTATTGAAAGGATTTCGTTGCTAACTTTTTGTTTGAAGTAATGTGGAAAGTCAACATCTTGATTATGTCATTATTTTCTCTTCTCAAGCCCAGTAGCTGTTATCGCTCTTTCCAGTATTGTTGGAGGTTCCTTCCTAACCTTTTTGTTTGATGTAGTGTGGAATGTCAACATCTTGATTATGTCATTATTTTGTCTTCTCAAGCCCAGTAGCTGTTATCACTCTTTCCAGTATTGAAAGGGATTTCGTTGCTAACCTTTTGTTTGAAGTAATGTGGAAAGTCAACATCTTGATTATGTCATTATTTTCTCTTCTCAAGCCCAGTAGCTGTTATCGCTCTTTCCAGTATTGTTGGAGGTTTCCTTCCTAACCTTTTGTTTGATGTAGTGTGGAATGTCAACATCTTGATTATGTCATTATTTTGTCTTCTCAAGCCCAGTAGCTGTTATCACTCTTTCCAGTATTGAAAGGGATTTCCTTGCTAACCTTTTATTTGAAGTAGTGTGGAAAGTCAACATCTTGATTATGTCATTATTTTCTCTTCTCAAGCCCAGTAGCTGTTATCGCTCTTTCCAGTATTGTTGGAGGTTTCCTTCTTAACCTTTTATTTGAAGTAGTGTGGAATGTCAACATCTTGATTATGTCATTATTTTCGCTTCTCAAGTCCAGTAGCTGTTATCACTCTTTCCAGTATTGATGGGAGTTTCCTTCCTAATCTTTTGTTTGAAATAGTATGGAAAATCAAAATTTTGATTATATCATTATTTTTGTGTTGTTGATGCCGTTCAATGTCCTCAAGTGATGTGGTTCTGTTATTTAAACAAGTCTTTATAGAAAAGAATAACAATGTTGGTAGTTTTTTTTTTTTAAATTTTAAACGTTAATTTTTCAAGAATTTTGAAAACCTTACGTAATTTTTATTGTTGTCCATAAATAATTGATGTAAAATAATATCCTTGCATTTACCTTGATAACTCTCCACAAATGACAAGACGCTTCGGCTTAGATAAGGTTTTTTTTGGTTTGGTTTGGTTTCAATGGGTTATTTAATGCCGACAAGCTTTTTATTGCTGGTAAAAAAAATTTTTCAAAATATATATTACTGTTAATATCTTTCCTTCAAAAATTTTTTCTTCTAAAATGTCTTCCTTCTAATATTTTTTCTTCAAAAATATATTGCTGGTAATAATTATTTACAAAAATTATTTACAAAAATTTATTGGTGGTAATATTTTTTCCAAAAATCTATTGCTGGTAATGTTTTACCTTCAATAATGTAGTACTGGTAATATTTTTTTCTTCAAAAATGTATTGTTGGAAATAATTTTTTTCTTCAAAAATTTATTGCTGGTAATAATTTTTTTACCAAAATGTATTGCTGCTATGAAAGCCTATTTTTACACTTTCATAGTGTTTTGACCACAGTTTAGGAATTAACTATATATATATATATATATATATATATATATATATATATATATATATATATATATATATATATATATATATATATCTGTCAGTATCTATCTATATTTCTGAGATGAGGTATTATGTACATTATTTACATTATTCGGACTATTGTCCTCATCTTTGTCGCCATATTTATTACAACGTTCGGCCCTTCAGTATCTGTCTATATTTCTGAGATGAGGTATTATGTACACTATTTACATTATTCGGACTATTGTCCTCATCTTTATCGCCATATTTATTACAACGTTTCGGCCTTTCAGTATCTGTCTATATTTCTGAGATGAGGTTTTATGTACACTATTTACATTATTCGGACTATTGTCCTCATCTTTATCGCCATATTTATTACAACGTTTCGGCCTTTCAGTATCTGTCTATATTTCTGAGATGAGGTTTTATGTACACTATTTACATCACCAAGTTCTCCACGACCTTAGAGGGGAATTAACAGGAGATAACTGATAATTGACATCCATTAGACATGGCACGTGGATCTAAAACAGTCTACCCCAGTGCGCGAAATAAAGGGTTCAGTTCGACATTCCAACCAAGAAGAAGGCAACGGCCGAAACGCTGTGATAAATATGGCAACAAAGATGAGGACAATATTCCGAATCATATAAATAGTGTACATAATACCTCATCTCAGAAATATAGACAGATACATAATTTTGAGTTGTTTATACACATGCTGTTAAAATCTGGGATCAATTAAAAGGTTATTTGCTTAGCGGCATATCAAATCCTTATTGGTCATTTAATGCCGAAATTTAATTTTCTTAGGAGTTCTAAAGTAATGAAAATATGATATGTTATTTTGCTTTCACAATTGAATACATGGTAAATGATACTCAGCTTTTAGTTTTGTTTGTTTAGTGACATATCAACACTTTATGGGTCATTTAATACCGAAATTTAATTTTCTTGTTAACATTAGTCCTTTCTTTTACAAAAATTTATTGCTGTTAATCTTACAATAAAAACGTATCTTTATAATTTCATAGTGTTTTCCAATTTCAAGGTTAACTCTTTTCCCATAGATGGGACCCTAACAGGTGGTAACACCCTGGAGATCATTTGAAGGAGAATTGGTCAAGTTATTAGATATCATTTTTTTAAAACGTAGTGTATATATAAACAACTGCCCGTGAGGATTTGAACTGGTTCTCTCTAGGATATCACAGAAGGAGGGTGTGAGAAAGACGTTCGTCTAAGGGCTATAGGGGGTCACATGGCCGAGAGTAACTGTCGAGGAGTTGAAGAAGTAATAAGGATTCTAGTCTCTTCCAGTAATTTTCCCTGCACACCAATTTCATTGGCCAATGTTGCAACCAATGGCTTCTTCTCGAGGCAAAAGGTTAATGGTATTGACCACAAACTGAATTTCAGTTATATTATCAAGGGCTACAAAAGTCAAGAAGTGAGTGCCTTTTTCTCTACTCCCCTCTCTCTCTACCCCTCTCTCTCTCTCTCTCTCTCTCTCTCTCTCTCTTCCAATCTATCCTTCTTCTTTCATCTACTTTTCACTCCCTCTCTCCTCTCTTACTCTTTATTTCTCTCTTCTTTGACTCTCTCCTTCTCCTCTCCCCCCAATTTTCTCCCCACACCTCGTCGTCTTCTTTCTGCTTTTTCTCCCACTCCTCTCTCTATCTTTGCTTTCCTTTTTTCAATCACACTCCTCTCTTTTACCTTCATCCCTTTCCCGCCTTCTCTCACTTTTTTCTCCTTATATTCTCATTGCTTCTCTATCCTCTCCTCTTTCCTCAATATGCTTCACACCCTCTCCTCTCTTACTCTTTATTTCTCTCTCTCTCTCTTCTCCCGTTTTCCTCTCTTTATCTCCCACTCCTCTTCCTCTCCTTTCTGCTTCTTCTCCCTCTCTCTCTATCTCTCTCTCTCTCTACTCTTTCCATCACTCCCCTTTCTTCCATCATTCTCCTCTCTTTTCTCTCCTTTCCCTTTCCTGCCTTCTCTCACTTTTTACTCCCTATATTCTCATTGCTTCTCTATCCTCTCCTCTTCCCTCAATAAACTCCCCCTTCTCTGATATGCTTCTCACTCTCCTCCCTTACTCCTTATTTCCCTCTTCTATATCTCTCTCTTTCTTCTCTTCTCCTGCTTTTCTCTCTTTCTCTCCCACTCCTCTTCATCTCCTTTCTGCTTCTTCTCCTTTTCCTCTCCCTCTCTACTCTTTCCATTACTCTCCTTTCTTCCATAATTCTCCTCCCTTTTCCCGCCTCCTATCACTTTTTCTTTCTCCCTATGTTCTCATTGCT